TGATGTCAAATAAGACATGTTTGTCAGATGAAAATGCAGGAAACAGCCATTGATCTATATATAATGACTATTATATTACTATATTATATTATTACTATTATTATTATATTATAATTACGTACTGCATCCGCCAGCGCTCAAACAAACAAACACCAGATGGCGCAGCATTACAAACTACTCAATGAAGGGAGAACGACGGTCCGCACAATATAACCAGTATATACTTAGCCTTTTGAGAGAATTTGAAATGCATATTTCGGAACACGAAATTAATTTCTTAAGTATGCTTGGAACAATGGCGCAAAGTTAATTTCATACCGCTATTTTGTAGTTGTGACGACGCGTTTATCTGACGCCACTTCCGGTGTAACTGCTGACGTTCCGGGCGCGGATATTTTTGAAAACAACGAGAAAAGTCGCGTTTATTTTCACGCCATAAAACGGGTGAGAGATTGAAATGTTCTTTGCGACTGTTAAAATAACATCTAATCAGTATTGTCTTGGTTTCAGTACCTAGAATTGAAGAAAGAACAGGTTAAAACATACGCGCTGAAGTATTATCAATATGACAGCAACAACTGTAACTTATATTGGTTGTTTTGCTAAACTGGATTACATGAATATTATTATAGCATGGCCAAATAATGCATATATAACTGCATTGTTAGATTGTTTTATATTGTAGTAGAGTAGATAATAGTAACTCCCCCTGAGTGTGAGCTGTCTAGTGCAGTAACTAACTGTCACTGTGTTGTTTGGATGATTTTGCAGCTCAGTATGGCATCCATCAGAGACTACAATGTGGCGGAGCAGTTAAGCAGCAAACTGGAGGAGATCAGGACCAAACTGCTGGATCAGGCCATGGGAGAAGTGCTCAATGGAAGAGTGACAGAGCTCTGTCAGGAACACAGGCGGCACATGAATTCCGTCTTGGGTAAGAGATCAGTGTTGCCAAACCCTTCCCTCAGAAAATCTCTAGAACCACCCTCAAGTCTCAATTTTTCACAAAAAGTAAATAACAGGTAAATTTGGTAAAGGTAAAGGAAAGTATATATATATATATACTTTACAAATGATGACAGTACCAAATTTACCTGTATTTACTTTGTTTTCATATTTGGCGACTTCACTGGATTGTTTATGCTTGCAATGGACTATCAGGGTTTGAGTTGAATGTGCAAGTGTTATTGTTAATATACATTTTAAAAAGATTACTTGTGGGATGGAAATTAAAGTAGGGCATGTCAGGTTAAATATCTGTCATTATAATCCATCTGCATTTAAAAAAGGCTAGGTGATATATGGTGAAAAATGAATTATATTGTGGTGTGTTTAACCTTTAAAATTTGGAAGTTTGTATTTGCTCTGAACATTTTTGTTGTTATTTTATTTATTTTTTTCTTAATTTATTGAATTATAATTTTAATCCGTTCATTTGTATAGACCGCTTAAACTGATTCACAGAAACTTAATAGCCAAATAAAAAGTGCATTAAAATCATGATATTCACAATTAAGCTTTTTATGGAAGCTTGTTTCTGCCCCAGGATTAAAAAAAAAAAAATTTGCTTTTTTATCTTATAATTCAGACTTTTTGTTCTTTCAGAAATAAATACAAAACGAGATACAATCTTGCAATTCTGTTTTTTTTTGTTTCTGCAATGAAAAAAAAAAGGTTTTTCAAGAAAAGGACTTTTCTTGCATTTACGAGTTTGTCTCAAAATTCTGACTTTTCGGATAGTTTAGAACATTTTGATATAAGCTCAGTATTGTGAGATATAAATTCAGAATTCAGAGAAAAGAAAGCTGAATTGTGAGATAAAAATTTAGAATTGTGAGGGGGAAAAAAGTAAGAACCGTGAGATTAAAAAGTCCCAGTTACCGTTTTAATTCATTTAATATATCAGGCTTCTGTAGCTTTTTAAATTTTGTATTGCAAGAAAAATGTATGTGATTGTGAATATTTCAAGTTGCCCAGGCATATATATATGTTTAACAATGTACAGTGGGTACGGAAAGTATTCAGACCCCCTTCAATTTTTCACTCTTTGTTATATTGCAGCCATTTGCTAAAATCATTTAAGTTAATTTTTTTTCCTCATTAATGTACGTCTGAATACTTTCCGTACCCACTGTATATGTTTTCTTTTTTTCTTTCTACATAGGTACTTGTTTTAAGAAATGCAAGGAGGATGAAACCATTTTTGACATGATAAAAACATACAAAGAAGGTGAGAAGTTGATTGGCACACTTGTTTGACATTTTAATAACAGAAATCTAATATTGTGTTGTCTGGATCTGTCAGTTCCATGACTACCATGATATTTCCTTTCTTTTGCTATTAGATTTTAAAGAGAAAACATCTTTACAGAAAGAGAAGAGTGCTGAACATCTTGAGGTTGTGTCGGAGATTGAAGACAAAGAGCATCACAAAGCGCTCTTATTCCAGAGAATCGAGAAGCTCGAGAAGGATCAGGCCAAAAACCGAGAATGTGTGTAATCCTTTCCTTTCTCTCATGCGCCGTTATGTTAATGTGTAGTGGACTATGCTTAAAGTAAGGGAGGTAGAGAGATTGATCCGTTACTACAGATGAGTGAGTTTTCAAATCATTGCAAAGAAACACTCACAAGCATGATTCATTTGTGAATCATTTACTAGAAATATTTCTGAATGAAATGCCGTATGTCCAGTAAACAAATAGTATGTGTTCTGTTATTCATATTTGTTCATTCATTTTGCCATGTTTAGTCTTTTTCCTGCATATGACTGTTATGTTACAGACAGTCAGACACAATGGACAGGTTTACTTTATTATTGCTTTCTATCCAAGCTGATGTTATTAATGTTTGTTTTATGCATTTTTATAGTGATTCAGTCACAAAATAAAGCCAACAAGGACAGACTGAAGAAGCTGAACAAATGTAAAGACATCTTTCAGAAGCCCCTCAGTCTTGAGATCAAAAAAATCGAAGGTGAAGTCTTTGTGTTTAACTTTAACATACAGTGTGACTGAAGTACGAAGTGATTTTTTTCCCTTTCATTATGTATTAATTAGATGCATCATTCAAATTCAAAGTGAGGTACAAACCACATTTAAAATCCGTGATTTTATTTCATTTTAACCTTGAAGAATCAAGTGTTGATTTGGTACTTTTTCTAGGTCGGTAATCTAATGTAAGCAATTTAACTTTTCACTCAAATTGTTGTTGCTGATTATATATGCTGCTGATTATATCATTTAAATATAAAAGCATTTTAGCTTGTGGTCTTAAACTTGATTTAAGGTGCAAACCTTAAATCAAGTTTAAGACCACAAGCTAAAATGTATCATCAACATCTGTTTATTTTAAGGTGAGAAGCTGCAGTTTGTCTTCGGGAACATCAGTCATAAAGATCCAGACATGGTCCATACCTTCCTCCTACAGCTGGATGCAGAGGACATTTACCACAGTAAATACCCATCTTTTATCTTTTGACTTGTTTGTTATCTTTGATTTTTGCAAAAACCAGTAGTTACCATAAAGAAATTAAGCATTTTGTTAAATTAAATCTCAGAGATATTTCTGATTAGACTCAGGCATTGCATGTTTATACTGATAAATAGGAATATTAATTTTATTATTTAATGATAAATGGTAAATTAATTATTACTTAAACAAAACTTAAACTACAGTTCAAAAGTTTGTGGTTGGTAAGATTTTTATTTTATTTTTTTTAAGTTTCTTATTCTCACCAAGGCTACACTACATTTTTTATCAAAAATACAGTAAAAGCAGTAATATTGTGAAATATTATTACAATTAAGTTTCTTATTCTCACCAAGGCTACATTTTTTTTATCAAAAATACAGTAAAAGCAGTAATATTGTGAAATATTATTACAATTTAAAACAACTGTTTTGTATTGGAATATATTTTAATGTGTAATTTATTCCTGTGATGCAAAGCTGAATTTTCAGCATCATTACTCCAGTCTTCAGTGTCACATGATCCTTCAGAAATCAGAAAGCATTTATTTGAAATAGAAATCTTTTGTAACATTATAAATGTCTTTACTGTCATTTTTGTATCAATTTAATGCTTCCTTGCTGAGTAAAACTAGTATTATTATTATTATTATTATTATTTTTAAATCTTACTGACCACAAACTTTTGAACAGTAGTGTATAATGACTGACAGAACTAAAGTATTGAATAACATGATAATATTTTCCCCAAGTCATCTCCTCTGACCCTCCGCTGGAGAAAATATCACATCTAGAGCGCAGGCTGCAGGAGACCAACAACTTTTCTGCTTTCCTTGCTAACATCCGGAGAGAGTTTGTGGCACTTCACAGTGGTGCGAAGACAGCCTGACTGACGAACAAAAGCTGATTTTTCATTTCAGATGCATTTGAAACAAACGGTCAGAGACCCAGACACCATATTTATAGACATGATTAGCACATAGATTGAGCTTTTATTTACTTAAACCATCAGCAATTACTTAATATGATTCAATATTTCATTGTTTCAGTTCTTTGTACATTGATTGATTTGTAATTTTAGCAATAAACATTTATACAAGTCATAAAATAAACAAAAAAAAGTCTTAAAGTGCTTCGAAATTTCTTAGTTTTATACTACAGTGACTTAAATGTCTAAAACATTTGCAATGCATTATGTAAATTTCTTTTTATTATCATTTCTATATATATATATATATATCTCTCTTTTTCACAATAATGGGTTTAATTTATAGGCTTCCTTTCATGAAAAAATTGTCTTTTTCGGACATTATGGAAATTTTCGTAGCAAATAAATTTTATGCTCTGCTCTAAAATATTTAATCGGCTAGAATCTGATCGTCTACGGTAAAACTACTCAAGTCATACTAATGCATGATTTAAGAGTGAATTGTTCTTTGGAGTCAATGAGTCTGTTGAAACGATTCATTTAAATGATTTTCTAAAGTCCTTTTTCCAGTAATTGCATGAAGTGTGTTTAACCCTACAGCACGAGTGAATCATCAGTGACCTTTTCCATCACATGCTCTTTTGAAGCTAAGCTTCAGAGGACTTCATCTCAGTGAAAACAGGCAGCTCTTCCACATACGTGGATGGGAAATGTCCTCTCTGTCCGTTGAGCTCACCGAACCACCAGCCCGTGTCGTCCTTCTGAAAGATATCCAGTACGTCTCCTGCCAGATTGAAGAGAGAGAGTCAACAGAAAGCAGGTGCTGAGGGATGATGTATTAAGATGAACTGCCATATTACCTTCATTAATGTTTAACTCATCCTCTCTTTCTGACGTGAAGCTGTATAAAGCCTTGCATCTGCCGACTGAGTGGAATTCTGAGCCTGTGCAGGGAATTTAACATACAAAAATGAAATCAGAAGTTTGTGTGTCAATAAAACGAAGGTAAACATGTTTTGCTCGCCGTTTACCTTTATCCTCTTCAGATTCAGACATGCTTCCGTTAACCGGGCCGCTCTGTTGCTCGTCTGTGTTGTTATGCATGACATCGGTCGTCTCAGTCGAGGGCTCTTCACTTGTCGTATCAGGGCTTTGGTTGGTCAGCGCACTCTTTTTGATCACAGCGCGCCTCATAGACTGACGTGATCTGAACGGAGTCTTTTTGATCCTCACCGGTCGAGAAAGCTGCACCACGTTGTGCTCGCAGTCCTGGAGCAAAACCAGAGAGAGTTTAAAAACTCATGCAACATATAGATGGGTTTTTTGTCTAAATTGGGCTTATTAAAATTGCAATACTGTCTCTCTCCACCCAGCAGCCTCAGGGAAACCCATATATTATAGTCAAAAAAGTGTAGGCTGTTTAAAAGGAACAGCATAAACAAAACATTACGCTAAACTAGTCATGACCTAGTTTCTCAATTAACTCTTATGTTTACATCTTTTTCCAGTCCTGGATATATCAAGATTACATTAGTGCATGATAGGATCAAATGAATCAGCCAAGGATGATTTAAAGGCATTTCTTTTGACACTAGAGACACTAACCATATTTAATTTTTATTTATTTATTTTTAAAGAAATGTTTTATCAGTCCCCCTGCTGTACCTACAGACATTTTTGCTCAAAGTCTTTTTGTGGTGTTACTAAAAAAAAAAAGTTTGAACTTAAAATGCATCCTGAAAATAATTTTACTAAAATAGAATAAATATAATTTGTTACTTCCAAACGTTTGCACTTAAAATGCATGCTGATAATAATTTTGCTAAAATAAAATAAAATTTGTTACTCCCAAAAGGTTTGCACCGAAAAAGCATTCTGATAATAATTTTGCCAAAATAAAATAAAATATGCATACTGATAACACATTTATCAACATAAAATGAAGGGGGGAAAAAATTACTCCCAAAAGCTTGCACTTAAATTGCATGCTGTTAATAACTTGACCAATAAATAAATTAAAAAAATTATATTCCCAGAAGTTCATACTTTAAATGCATGCTGATAATAATTTTATTAAAATAAAACAGTATGCTTCTAGTACTAAATAGGTGATTTTTCAGCAAGCTTACCTTTTCTTTCCATTTAGTGATGCTGTCACTGAATCGATGTCTTGATTTTGGTTTGCCCTCTATCTCCGCCAGACTGTGAGTGAGTTTGCAATGCGTCGCCTCCAAAAGGTCCAGTTTGAGGATGGCCTACAGAGCGAGAGAGCAGTCAATATACAGTTTGTAAAAACCTTTTTATTAAATACCTTTACATGTTTAAAGGGATCATATGATGCGATTTCAAGTTTTCCTTTCTCTTCGGAGTGTTACAAGCTGTTTGTGAATAGATAAGATCCCTAAAGTTTCAAAGACTAAAGTCTCAAACCCAACGAGATATTCTTTATAAAAATTAAGACTCTTCCACGCCCTCCTAAAATGCCTCGTTTAAACACGCCCCCACATGTAAAGAAAGAAGGTGTAACTTTTATTCTTGCTGTAGTTTTATGCCGCCGCCGCAATGTCGTGGAGACACTGCGTGTTTTGTTGTGAAAGCGAAACTACTTTGTTTGGCCTTCCAAAAGAGGACACGACTAATAATCAGTGGTTAAGTTGTATTTACAAAACTGTTCCAGAACAGTTTAACCCATATATTCGTGTGTGTACAACGCATTTTACGGAGGACAAGGACTGTATCCTGGGAGAGTAGCCTACAATGCCGGTTTTCTGACAAATAATGCTGACTCACAGCCTGTAAGTAAGTTTTCATATTTAAAGAATTTGCCACTGATGATTCAAAC